CTTGGATTTTGCACAAACGATGTTTGATAGACAAAGACAAACCTTACCAATAGTCCGACAAAACTACAAATTGGATTAAAAATGCATATGGAAATTGAGTTCTTCTCAAAGTTGGTCATGACTAAATTTATAATTGAAAGAGAGGGATGGGGGGAAGGAGACATGGTGTGTGATAAAGGGGGCATAGGCATGAGAGGTCCAACCATAGAAATATAAATGGAATCCAGTCTGTTACCCAAACACACCTTAGTTTCATCATGATTCCACCCCCACACCATCAATTAAACTATATTATTCTCCCATAATTCTATTTCCCACTCAATTTTACCTAATTTAACTTCTTTTTTTTCTTTAATATATTCAAATTTTCCATTTCACCGTGTTATATCGTTTATAATAATAATGTCCATGAATAAATTTGGTTCATTAGACGGAGTAGATTACACGTCCTATTTCACACTATCGTTGTGATGTCTATATAATCCATAGGACTGGTGTTCGTGGGTACCCGTTTTGTGTAGATGGGAATTCTCCATTTAGATCGAATATCAGAGAGAGTGGAGATAAATTTCTCCCGTTAAATAAATGAGGTTGGTATGAGAATTATATTTTATGTCTGCTTCTTCCTTAAAGATCTATATTTGGAAGGCTTCCCTTTATTATTTGAAAGCTAACCATTATATCAATTAGAAATTTCAACCTTACTAACTCCTTCAATTAAAAATAATACTTCTAATTTTATATTTATATTACATTTTATAGAAATTTCATTTTTTTAAACTTAATATATTAAAAGAAAATTAAAATTTTAATTAATTAAGATTAAATTGTTTCTATAAATGTCTTGTCTCACATTCATCCCCACATACCCTTTCTTCACTTCCACACTCTCTCAGTCCCAAATTGAAGGCATGAAGACAAAATCCCCCTTCCTACTCTCTCTCCTCCTCCTTCTCCTCTCCATATCCGCCGAATCCCTCCACCACCACCATCACCCGAACTGTAACGCCGCCGCCGACCGCAGCTCCACCCTCCAAGTGTTCCACATTTTCAGCCCCTGTTCCCCCTTCCGCCCCTCCAAGCCGCTGTCATGGGCCGACAATGTGCTCCAAATGCAGGCCAAGGACCAAGCCCGCCTCCAGTTCCTGTCCTCCCTTGTCGCCTGCAAGTCCGTCGCCCCCATTGCCTCCGCCCGCCAACTCATCCAGAGCCCCACTTTCGTGGTCCGGGCCAAGATCGGCACCCCTGCTCAGACCCTCCTCATGGCCCTCGATACCAGCAACGACGCCGCTTGGATTCCCTGTTCCGGCTGTGTCGGCTGCCCTTCCACCACCGTCTTCTCCTCCGATAAGTCCACCTCCTTCCGCCCCCTCCCCTGCCGATCCCCTCAATGCAACCAGGTACATAGCCCTGTTCTATTTCAAATCAATTCCCCTTTTTCTTCTCATATTTCTTGAATTTTTCCAACTCACCAATGTGGGGGCATTTAAATTCTCATGATTCTACATTAAACCTTTATTATCGAAGTGCACGCGCTCACGCGCCGCCTGTATCGGTGGAGAAGCCAGATATCCGTTGGAATATTCAATGATTATAAACCTACCTTTATTCACCCACATAGCATTCCCCTTTTAGTTGGTAATATGTGGGGTTCCCCTCTTTATTATGCTTTCTTTGGATTTTTTTTTTTATAAAATAATACTTTTAATTTTATTTCTAAATCCAATAAAATAAATTAATTGAATATATTTTTTTTTGAAAATTAATAAGAACTTCGGATGCCTTTTGTAGAATCAAATCCATGTTCCCACGTGCCAGTGGTGACACGTGTGTCCAAAAACTCCATTCCTCGTGATACGAGCCCCTCTTTATCACGTCAATCATGTAACAAATCAACTATTTCTTAACATTATTTTAAAAGAAAGGAATTAATTTCGGTAAAAGTTAAATAATAAATAATTTATTTATTTTTTAATTTTTGGATTTCTCTAGAATCTATGACTGTCAGTGAGTCACCGACGGGAACGTTCAGTCACGGGCCAAAAAACTTCTTCCCAACAAGACTTATCGTATTATTAAACATCGCACGTTAACGGCACGTGACCCTTTTGTTTATCAGGTACCGAACCCCAGTTGCAGCAGTAGCGCGTGCGGCTTCAACTTGACGTACGGCAGCTCGACTGTGGCGGCGGATCTGGTTCAAGACAACATAACTCTGGCCAACGACTCAGTTCCGGCGTACACATTTGGGTGCATCACGAAGGCGACGGGTAGTTCAGTGCCACCGCAGGGACTATTGGGCCTGGGTCGAGGCCCATTATCGCTTTTGGGCCAGAGCCAGAGTCTGTACCGGTCCACATTCTCGTACTGCCTTCCGAGCTTCAAATCGACCAGCTTTTCTGGGTCGTTGCGTCTTGGGCCTGTGGCCCAGCCCAAGAGGATTAAGTACACGCCGCTGCTCCGAAACCCGAGGCGGTCGTCTTTGTATTACGTGAATCTAATCGCGATCAGAGTCGGCCGGCGAATCGTCGACATTCCTCCCTCTGCTCTTGCCTTTAACTCCGCCACCGGCGCCGGCACCATCATCGATTCCGGTATCGATCTAAATAGATTTTAAAAATATTTTAGACTCAATTAATAAAAATACACTTCTAATTTTAAAAATATCTTTAATTCAGGGACGACATTCACAAGGCTGGTGGCACCGGCGTACACGGCGGTGAGAAACGAATTCCGGCGAAGAATAGGCAACGCAACCATCTCATCCCTCGGCGGCTTCGACACGTGCTACACAGTCCCCATCATCTCTCCCACCATAACCTTCATGTTCGCCGGAATGAACGTAACTCTTCCGCCGGACAACTTCCTCCTCCACAGCTCCGCCGGAACCACCACCTGCCTCGCCATGGCCGCCGCCCCGGATAACGTCAACTCCGTACTCAACGTTATTGCCAGCATGCAGCAGCAGAACCACCGCATTCTCTTCGACGTTCCAAATTCCCGAATGGGCGTCGCCCGCGAACCCTGCTCTTAAACGGCCGTCGTCCGCCGTATTATCTCCAGCTCCGGTGATATTTATTTTTGTTGGCTTTAGAATAATAAGAATGTGTGGTCATCATGGTTTGGTGGGGGGATGGGGAAAAGGGTAAAGTAGTAATTTTGTATGGCTGTTTTTATAGTTGTGTTGTTTGGGATTCTCAAGGTTTTAGCTTATTATATTATGGATGTCTGAAAAAGCAAAGCTTTTTTTCTTCAATTCCAGTGTTGTGTAAGTTTACTACTAATAACCTAAGTCTTAATGACAATTTAATCTTAGATCTCAAGTCCGTTAAAGTCGTTAAACCCTTTTTTAATAGACGCGTTTTAAAATTGTGAGGCCAACGGCGATATGTAACGAGCAAATAAAAATAATTAAAATTGATGTATAAATTATTAAAGGGAATTGATTTAAACTCATATGATTGAAACAAATTTTCAACTAAGAAATGATGATGGGTTTTGATTATTCCTTTCTAAGACATAGTGGAAATGCCAATATTTAGAGAAGTTGACATTTTTTATTTTTAAAAATTTATTTGTATATTAAAGAATTAAAGTACATAAAACATTTTCAAAATAGATTACCCCTTGGATTATCATTTATGGCAATTTTATAAAATAAAAATATTTTTTTACACAAGAAAAAAAAAAAAAAAAAAAACTGAAAACAAACCCATTCATTTTTTGGTCAATTTTTTAATAATAAAAATAAATTTTTACTTTTCATATTATAAAAAAAACAAAAATATAGATAATTATTATTTTACTCAATTTTTATTTATTTCTTAAAAAAAAAAAAAAAAAAAAAAAAAGTATAAAGCAAAAGGGTTTGAAAAGAGAGGAGGAGCATCCAAAAAAGTGCAAGCTATAAGATTTGTAGGGTTAATTCGTTTTAGGGTTTTAATTTCCTACCCCATTAGCGGGTGGTGATGGTGGTGGTGATGGTGGAGATGGTACTACCAGTTAAGTTAGTGGTAATGGTGGTGGTGACGGTGATGGTGAATTAGAGTGGTCGACAAACCCATGTGCTTGTCCCACTACCTTCTTACTCTCCCACCACTCTTTTTTTTTTTTTTTTTTTTCCCTCTTTACGAAGAATATAATAAATAAATATTTAATCATAATTTAATCCTTTATAAATAATTACCTAATTAAATCTTATGATCTTAACGACCATTAAGATTTATAGTTCAATTTTAAATATTTAATTTTTTTAGAATATTTAGTAATTTTATATATATATATATAGAAAAGAAAAGACATATATGCTAAATGGATATTTGATGGCTTGATATCAAAGCTAAGAGGCAAAGGGAAGAGGTGATATGAATTCATTTCCCTTTTGGTTGCCCACTTACCTTTTATTGCCTTTTCCCCTCCCAAATGCTAGTGGTTCCATGTCTCTTTCTCATTTTATTTTCTCTCAAATATTTTAGATTCCAATCCAAATCTAAACCCAACACGTTTACGATAATTCACAATTAGTCAAAATTATTGACTTAAAAAGATTCCAACTTTTGAACCTTTAATCATGAACATATATTGTGCTAGCTAGACTAAAAACACCGATAGACAGGCTGAAGTTTCAAGGTTATTTTTTCTCAGTAAACTAGTTCTTTTCTTTACAAACTTTGTATCTCGAGAATTCACTGATACAACCCTACCCTTAATCACAAGAGTGAAGGTGGTCGAGGCCATCGAGTTTGGTTGTCTCTATAGTTGGCTACTAGCTAGGGTATTCTCTTTCTCTCACTAGAATGCTAGTGGTTTTAAGCTTTAAAGATGTTAGCAGCTAACTAACAATAAAGCTTGCAACTTTATAACTTTAAAACTTAAACCCTTCAATTTCCCTTCCCCCTAACTCTCACTCCCATGGAGATCAAACCCACTCCTTCATCCCCACTCAACTCAGAAACCACCTCCCCTTCTCTTCTATTTAACCACCACCAACACCTCCCCTCCGCCGCCGCCGCCGCCACCGAAACCCCATCTCCCAAAAAAACCCCTGCTTCCACCACCGGCGCCGGGGACCGGCTGAAACGAGATGAATGGAGCGAAGGCGCAGTGTCCACCCTGCTGGAAGCTTATGAATCCAAATGGGTCCTTAGAAACAGAGCCAAATTGAAGGGTCATGATTGGGAAGACGTGGCCCGCCATGTCTCTTCAAGGGCCGATTTTACCAAATCCCCCAAAACTCAAACCCAGTGTAAGAATAAAATTGAGTCCATGAAAAAAAGGTACCGCTCTGAATCCGCCTCCGCCGCCTCCTCCTGGCCCTTGTACCACCGCCTTCATCTCTTGCTCCGGGGAAACACCCTCACCCCTCCACCGCCGCCTCCGACGCCGGTCATTCTTCTGGATCCTCCCCCACCACCTCCCGCTCCACCGCCGTTTCTGCCGGCACAAAACTCCCATGGGTCCAATGGTGTTGATAGGATTAATCCTAAGGTATCAACTTCCCTTAATTCCCTTTTTTTTTTTTTTTTTTAGTCAATAAGTTATTTAAAATTTTTGTAAGATTTCAAATTAAATCAGCAAACATTTTTTACCTTAATTTAATAATTTGAGTTGTAAATTTTTCGAACGGATTCAATCTGATGTAACTCAAATTATTTATTTAATTTATTAAAAATTATTTGTAAGAGTGATCGGATAATAAATAATAAAAAATAATTATATAATTAATAATAAATTTGAATTGGTTTGGTTAACCCATAGTGACTCAATTTATAAAATTTTTATTTATTTAAACTTAACCATTTTTATGAAAGAGACTTTAATTTCTTTATCGAATTTGTAATGTTGAAGAATTAAAGTAGAAAAGTAAAAATGATTGCAGGAGGATGGGGTTGACAATGGAAGAAGAAATGAATCAGATGAGTTATCAGAGAGGAGTAAGAAGATGGTAATAGAGACAGACAGTAGCACACCAGCAATAGTATACAGTGACAAAGACAAGGTATCAATGAGGCCTAAACAACAAACTAAAATGAAGAACAGCAAGAAGAAGAATAAGTCGACGAGGCTGTCGTCCGAGGATTCATTGGAGCAGATCGCCGGGAGCATACGGTGGTTGGCCAAGGTCGTGGTGCGATCGGAGCAAGCTCGAATGGAGATGATAAAGGATATTGAAAAGATGAGAGCTGAAGCAGAGGCTAAAAGAGGTGAAATGGATCTCAAAAGAACACAGATCATTGCAAATACTCAATTGGAGATTGCTAAGCTCTTTGCATCTGCTACCAAACCTATAGATTCTTCACTAAGGATTGGTAGAACTTAACTTCAATTTTTATTCATCCAATAATAAAAATCATATCAATCTCATAAACATATAACTCGTATTAATCTCAATCAATGTAACCTTCTCTTTCATTTTGCGTATAAAAATATCGTTTTTTTAATAATCGTTAGATGTTATTGATGTTGAACTTCGATCTACTGTGAGTTTGTATGAAAGTAGAAATTGAACGAAATTGAACGATATCCGGTCAAATGAGAATGGTGCACTAATATGGTGCTAAGTGTCATGGTCATATTTGTCTAAGGCGTGTTGCCCATGTCGCATGCCCATGATAAACCAAACTCTTTATGTCTTTCCATGTTCTAGTGTTTTACTTTTGTATTTCTAGGAAGTATGGTGTTTCAGCCAAACCCTTTATGTCTTTACATGTTCTGGTGTTTTATTTTGTATTTAGGGAATATGATGTTTCAGAAAAAATCATGTATAGGCCTGTCAGACATAAAATGCTCATAATTACAGTGGGATATGACTAGTTGTCAACTTCTCCCTACCAAAAGTTATATACTGTGAGCAATTGTTCTTACTCTCTTACTTACATATATAACGTCTCTTTCAAAATCTCTCTTTCAAAAATTTCTCTCTACCCTCGTTTACTAAAACCTTCTTCTTAAACCTAGGCGTTGTTGTTACTCTCGTACTACATATATAACGTCTCTTTCAAAATCTCTCTCTGCCCTCGTTTTCTAAAACGTTCTTTTTAAACCGAGGCTAGAGGCTCGAGCATACGTCGCTTGGCTATAGGTGACGTAAGAACGAATTGACTTAGCTCACTTGTCGTTGGAAAGTGAGTGCCGCACAATCGCAAGTCCACTGCTATCAAGAGTCCAAGTGAGTGTCTGGTTTGTAAACAGCTTAGACAAAAGACTATATTAGAGTTTGTCGAGAATCTCGTTAGGGTTCTCGGTATGTTGTAGGTAAAGGAAAACGATTGCATCAACGGTCCATTTGGATTTGGTTGTCCATTTTCAGCCTTCGACCAATTCTAGCCTAATCTAAACTCGATCTTATAATTGGGGCCTTAGGTCTTGGACTCGATCTTATAACTAATTTTCACCCAATAAATCTTTTATTTAGTAATTATGATAATTTAATCTCAAATCTATAGTTTTTGAACTCTAAAATTAATAAACATAATTTCAAGGAAATAAAAAAAATATATATATTAAAAAGAATTATGTTTTCAAGTAGCCCAGAAGAGAAAATGGGCCTTCGGCCCATTAAAATTTGCTTATTGACCCAATTGAAAGCCCACAAAATTTGGGTGACATCACATCAATTTTCACATGATGTTTAACATTTTGTAATTTAGATTTTTAAAATTATCTAAATTAGTGTAATGCAAACGATTTAAAACTCCCTCAAAATAAATAAATAAAAGATTTAACTATAAGATAGTTAATGTAACTTAATAGTAAAATAGAGGAAGAAATGGCATTAAAAATATTTTTAACTTTATTATGAGATTAAAATTTTAATTTTCAAATTAGCTACAACAATCTTTATTTATGTGGGTAGATATATAATAATGTCACGTCCATCACATCATATATAAATATAAATATGAATTTAATACCGTGGTAAAAGGTGGCCAAGTTTAGAAATTTCTTCCGATTAATCATATACTATAATTAGATAATATATACATATAACATATATTTCTCGACTCTCATTTGCCAGATATTTTCTTCTCATGAATCGGTTCGATGTTTCCATTTTTAATTTAGCTACTTCTAGATATATAAAATATCACTTCCATCATGTAATAAAAATCTAAATTCGAATACCATGCCAATTTACGATGATTAGGAATATATATTCATTTTTGTAAAAAAAAAAAAAAAAAAAAAAAAAACGTGCAATATATAAATTTTATATTTTTTTTTTAGGGAGTAAATTTTATCTCCAATTGAATTTATAATTTAAATTGAGTGATAATAAAATATTAAAATTATCCATTTTCTATTTAATATAAAATTAGAGATTTAGAATTTTATTACAATGCAACTAAATAGAAACACCATAAGAAGAAGAAAATAAAAGCATTACCAAAAAGACTTAGAATAGTAATAAAAAAATTATTTTCATTATTTTCACATTTCTTTTAACCTTCATTTTCTACATCGAATATAGTAAAGAACTCTTGAAATTAGNCTTCAAAAAAAAAAAAAAAAAAAAAAAAAAAGATCGCCGGCCGCCGGATGGCACAATGTTACTAAAATTTCCGTCATAAATCGAAATTATCGACGCCGACATCGGAGGGAGAAAAGGCGAGGATGAGGAGCGCCGCCATGAGTCCAACCGGAAAGAAGAGAAGCACAATCGGAGGGGGAGGCAGCGGCGGAAGAACCAACGGCAGAACTACCATCGAGACCGCAACGGCGGCGAGGATGAAAATGGACACTAAATTGAAGCAACGTACCATAGCTATTTTCCGGTGGCAGGAGATTGTATCATGTCCCTGAGCGGCGGCGTTGAGTGCGACAAGAATCCGATGAAGGCGGCGATTTTGGATTTTTTGGAATTCTGGATCGAAGTTAACGGAGGCGGAGAAGTTGTGGTGGGTGGGGGTTTATATAGGCGTGTGGACATCTGATTAACTAAAATTAAAAAATAAAAAATGGAAAAAGCGTTTTTGGAGGGCGGCGCGTGCATGCATCTGTGTGACGATGAAATGAATCACCGCCGTTTGATTTTCTACCTTCTGGGACCCACAGATGCGTGTTTTCTTTGGTTTTAAACTCTTTTCTTTATTTATTTAATCATATTAATGGGAAATTAATTTTTATCTTTTAATAATAATAATAATAATTGTTCATTGTACCATATTAAATTTTAGGCTTCAATGCTATCCACATGCATATACATTTAGCTTTGTCATTTCTGTTGATATAATTTCTAACGTTTATTTTAATTAATTAATATATTTATGTCCCTTTTAATTTATTAAAATCAAAATACTATTTTAGTCAATATAATTGGTATATTTTTAAATATCTGGATAGCCCTTGTAACCGCCCAAATCAAAACTTTAAAACACGTCTGTTAGACACATTTATAAAGAGTGTTTTGTTCTCCCCCAACCAATGTGGGATATCATAATTAATGGTATCAGTGTCAGACATCAGACGATGTGTCAGCCTTTTCGCTATTCTCCGAAGGGGGTAGACACAAGGCGGTGTGCCAGTAAGGATGTTGGGCTCTGAAGGGGGGTGGATTTAGTGGCGGTCCCACATCGATTGGAAGAAGGAAAGAGTGTCAGCAAAAACGTTGGCCCAAAAGGGGGTGGATTATGATGTCTCACATTGGTTGGGGAGTAGAACAAAACTCCATTTATAAGGGTTTGAAAACTTTCTCCTATCAAATGTGTTTTAAAGCATTGAAGAAAAGCTCGAAAAGAAAAGCCCAAAGAGTACAATATTGCTAATGGGTTGATCTGGCCGTTACAATAATAATATAATATAATATGAGACACAATGGCTTCTTCATTTATTTTTGTCTTATAGTGTAAAATTAAATTAAAAATTGTGTACTAAACAACAAATCACGTAATATTCCACAAATAAAATACTCAAAACTTATTATAAAATTATTTTATTTTTCAAGGACACTTAAAGTACCTAAGTACTTTTAAAAATTGTAAAGTATTTAAATATTATTAAATATAATTATATCTCAAATAATGAAGTATTGGAAGTTGAAATTTCGCTTTTTGTATATATTAATATGGAAGAGAGATTTATTAGGATTTTTGTAAATAAATTAAAAAAAGACATATAATTAAATAAATTCATTGAATAAAAAGCCTACAAACAAAACAACCCCACACTTCATATCATAAAGTAAGTACAAAATCTTGTATATATCCATATTTCTTTTATTTAAAATTCACACAATAATGATGTAATATTAAAATATATATATATAATATTATTGCCTAATTTTTTCAAACGGTAAATATATTCCATTTTTAATTTAATATTTAGTTAAATTTATAAATTATTCATTTTAATTAAATAGATAAGAATATCGAAACCTTAAATCTTCTCTAGTATTTTAATAAATACTCATAAATATTTTTAATTGAATTATGAATATATTAATTAATTTTATAATGTTTTATTTAAATAAATATCGGTCATATTATAGAGATATTTTATCAATAGTTTCATCTCGATATCGACATGGACGTTGACATATTAATTCGTAAAAATTAAAATAATTTATTTTTATATATATAAATTTTTTAAAGAAAAACACATTGAAGCTTCTGGGTTTTCAGTGATTCGGTTGGTTTTGGTTTTATTTATTTCCTGATGGGATTTTGGCATCCGTTCTTTGTATCATAAAATAAATTATGGAAGAAAACGACGACGTTTGGGATGCGGACGTGTCAATAACACCATTTATTAATAAAATAATTTAGTTAAATCTAAATATTGTCTTTTTCAAAAGAATGAATATTAAAATTTTGGTGTACTTGTACGGAAGGAGAATCGAACAAATTCTTAATATTTGGATTCCCTTTTTATCTTTTTCATAAATACATATTTTATTTAGTTGATCTAAATTGATTTTTATTTCTATGATTTTTAGCGACTAAATTTATAATTTAATACGAACTTTATATATATATATATATATATATATATATATATATTTATTTAATTTTAAAATTTTGATAGAATAAAATTCTTATCCTCAAAATAAAAAAAAAAAAGAAAAAAAAAGAAAGAAATTACAAGTCAAATTTGGCATGTTTTGGTAAGATGCAATGGCACCTACTAACCTTTCCAATTTTCCCCAATTTTCACCGTTTTTCCTCCATCCTAAATTAGGGTGAATTTCATATTTTTGGATAACCATTTTTTCCTCTAAATTTATTGTTTTTTTTTATTGGCTGAAATTAATTTTAAAAAACTATATGAGTGGTCTCTCTACTCATACATGGTTTATAACGTCATTATTTTTAAAAAATTTAATAAATATTAATTTGTTATTATTATTTTAAAGAGAATAATACTTGGGCATTTTTGTAATAAATATTGACTTTTTATAATTTGTCTCTGAAAAA